TCCCTTGAAGAACACAATTTCAATTCAATCTGCTCGTGATAGCTCGTTAAGGAGGCCAACGATGAGGCAGGTTATGCATTAAGGGATTGAGTCATCAGTACTATAGATGTATTCCTTTTGGGTTTCTCCATGGTATTAAAATAGTCAGAACAGTGGGCTATTGGGGGGGTAGCTGTTTGGCGGCCACCTTCTCTCATCACCTAGGACGCAAACACAAAGACTTAAAAACGAGTGTCATGAAAACATACAATATAGCCTTGTCGTTTCCTGAAAAAAACAACAGAAACGGCCTAAAGCTGCGCTTAACCCGTCTCGCTGACACGCCCCATCATCAGTAGCGAACTAGACTGTATTACACTTTCAATGGACGCCAAGCAAAAAGTGATAGGGGGACACTATCAAATGTACGTAGTTCAGCCAGTCAGATACATATCGTAAGTGGAAGAGGGTTGCAGATGTCGAGCCTCACTCACGCAAGGGAAGTGGTCAGAGTGTGAGCTAGAGGTCGAGCACCGTCAAGAGCAGCCACCCAGGCCCAGGCGAGACGACAGTGGCAGAATACGAAGGACATCACGTAGATCACTAACCCTTAGGTTTCGGCTAAAAGGTCACCTAAAAAATTTTTGCAACTCAATGCCCAGAATGTCCCAGCAGTTACAGACCGACGTAATATATCGGTACAATTATTGTTCTATATCTGTGCCTGAACCAAGGAACAACCACCCGTGGACGCTAGGAGCGTTGAGTCTCCTCGTGCATCTGCACTTTATGAAGGGTGTTCTTCAGCTTCTCTAATACTTCAGTTTTAACAAAGCCAATGATCTGGTTGTTACGGGCGACCCCTTTGAAGTAGTGGGCCGCTGGTTTCGCGAATGTCTTATAACAGTTGCCATTCGTGTAAGGCTGCGGTTGTAGTACTTTTGCGGCAGGTAGCGTTAGCGCTTCCAGCGTACGCCAGCGGCAGTGCCGAAGAGAGGATGCATATCGATCTAGCTTCACCAGCGTCACCAGCGGCACGCTGGCGTAGCGAGGGCACGGGAAGCATAGCTATCGATCTAGCTTCACCAGCGTTTCTCGAGCGTTTCTCCAGCGGCACCAGCGTTTTGCTAGCGCTTGCAGCGGCAGGGAGTAGACTATGTGGCCGTGAGAGAGCAGGAGACGACGTGTGCATTGTAGAGACTATGTGGCCGTCGGAGACGCAGAAGCGATGTGCATTGTAGAGACTAAGGGCGAGTGAGAGACGCGCAATCGATGTGTTTGTACCCTCCAGCTCTCCCATAGTCTCTACTCCCCTGCCGCTGCAAACGCTAGCAAAACGCTGACGGCTGCAAACGCTGGCGTCTAGGGGCGGTCGCGCTGGCGTAGCGTGCCGCTGGTGACGCTGGTGAAGCTAGATCGATATGCATCCTCTCTTCGGCACTGCCGCTGGCGTACGCTGGAAGCGCTACGCTACGCTGCCGCAAAGTATAAACGCAGCCTAAAGCAGGGGTACGCATCTTGTTGCGAAACCCTAGAGGGGGGTCGTAATAGGCCGCTGGGGAGGAAGGCGTAAACGCAGGGTCGTTGGGCACACAAACAGCACAAAAATGTCACAGGTAAGTTTGATGGAGCGGAAGGAAAGGTGCAGAGGACCCGGATGTAAGCAGGTCTACAAAGTATTGAAACAACTGATCAGCGATATCAATAGATAGCATGAACTCGTAAGCACGTCGATGCTAAATTATAGATCTCAAACAGATTCGTGCGTATTGACCTTTCCAAACGCTAAGTAAGCAGTTGCTTGCACTGACAAGAATAACCTGAAATCGGAAGTTACACCTCTCCACCATATCTGCGTAGAAGCGTAATGCACGGCGCACACTCGGACTAAAAAGATTGATGATAACCAAGCTGTACTTTCACTCGAGGATATGTGTTCTGAAGGAACATTAAAGTTTCTGAATGGATATCCTTACAACGGCACAGAAAGGAGTCGAGCTTTTGACGTGGGCTGCAGAATTGCCAGCGCGCCCGCGTAATCCTCCAAAATATTTCAACGAACGGCATCCATTCTCAAAAGCCTACAACTAAAAAAGCTATCGCCTCCAGTAAAAGCTCTGCTATTTTCATCTGGCCAACAGATCTGCTCCACCGCTAATTTGCCATGGAATCATAACGCGGTCGCAAGCGGGTATATGTCGTATGGCGTGGCTGGCAGCCGTCATAAGTAACTGGGACCCGAGCAGGGCACGCCATTGCGTTGTGATCATTTCCTGAAAAATACGACCCCCCCTAATTCCATCTTCAAGTACGACCCCCCTCCCCACGTTACCTCTTCCCTAGATTTTTCCAACCTCCTACCACTTTGTCTATTTTTTCCCAAAAATTTCTGGTTTTTTTTACAAAATTTTGCTGTCGAGCGGGGGGGGGTCGCAGTACCTACGTACGTCCCAAGCACGTCCAGCACTCTGGCGCTGGTGTAGCATACTGACAATACGTACGAGGAAGGGGCGATGATAGGAGCTACGATCACCGCCCACAAGGGCCCCATGAATTTATAAACAAACAAGAGGACTCACGACGTGACGATTAATAAACAGATGAAAGTACATTCCCGGACTTTCTGATCGTAGGAGCACATTTGCTTGCAATTGGGAAGCCCTATCTAGAAGTTACACCTTTCAAACACCTGCGTGAAAGCCCCATGCATGGCGCATTGCATATGTGATGCCAATTGGCGCCCAATGGCCTATTACCTGATATGGCGTGGGACGAAAACGGAAACATGTGTTTCAGAAGCATACCAAAGTCTTCGAGCCAACTGGAGGTTTCCTGGCCTCGGAGGGGTTGATTTTTCGGTGTCGTGGGGGGTGATTACAAAATGATCACAACGGGGGAATTTTTTCGAATGTACACTCCTCTTCATTACGGACTGTCGGGGCGTATCGGCCAGAAGGAGTGCGCACACTGTTTGAAGCCGTTCTCAGCCTTTTCTTTGAAGCGCGTATGCGACAAAAAGTGGTAGAAAACGAGTAATACGAAGGATATAATGCTGTTATGTCATTTGATCGCTTCAACAACTGGTGCAGAAAGACTTTGGAACCGCGGAAAACGCAGCCGCACTGACCCGCCCCGACAGTCCGTAATGATGAGGAGTATATCTAGGAAGGAAATTAAAACCTTGCTGGGAAGTAGAAATCTTCAAGCTTCCGGCACAGTTCTTTTTTTACGAAAGGTCGTGTATGAAGCTTGCCATGGACGTCCAAAGCGTAGCGACTCGCGGTTCGCAAAAATGATCACAGACGGATCACAAAGATGATCACAACGGGGAAAATCTCTGGAATCGGAACGTTTTTGAAATCGCTCAATTCAGGTGACAAGAGCCAACCTAGCTCTACTCATTCCCACTTACCCCTCTCCGATAGCTTCACTTTCAACGAAGTTATGGGTGTTCAAATGAGGGGTACTTTTCACGTGTTTGGCTTGAAATTGGCTCCAAACCGTAAAATAGCGCGCACCAATGCGCTTGTATGAGCGCGCTGACCGCGAACAGCCAAAATTCAAAAGTAATCCATAGTTCCGGTTCCCAGCTGAGCGGTGAGTTTTTTCTTATCCATTTTATTGTGAATTACTTTGATTGTTTCGTTTTTTGTTGAGTTTGGATTTTGTTTTGTTGAGTTTGATTTTGTTGTGAGGAAATTGCTCAGGATTCAATTTCTACGGTTTCATAGGTAGCTTTTGCAATGGATTCTTTTCTAGATTTTGCGGATTAGTGGATTGGGATTTATCTAGACCAGATGAGGAGGGTTGGTGGGCGAAGTGTCTTGAAGTTTTTTGTGAGGGAGGAAAAAGTTTCAGCAATATTTTTTTTAGTTTTGGCCTAGGAATAGTTCGATAGTGCCTATCGTGTTCTATTTATTGTCATCTACATCGTCCCTTTTGAGCTTCTTTTTACTTGTACCGTGTATCACCGCTCTCTCCACTTCAACATGGGCCATGCGTTTACGACCCCCCCCCTCCATCGCGGGCAAATACGACCCCCCTGTTGTGATGATCACAAAGATGGCGTGCCCTGACTGGGACGCTGCTGGCCTTAATTGCCACTTCCGCTGAGCCTCTGGTAGGCGTTCCTCGGACCGAGCAACTCGTCCACAAGCCACGTTTACCACATTGATTCGCATAATTGATCTATTTAAGTACAACGGTAAGACGCCTATGTAAACGCCGAATTGCATACTGATGGCTCAACTTCGCATTCTCTTCGGTTTTTGAGCGGGGGTTTAAACTTCTTTCGCCTTACCAGCTATTGCAACCCCCCCCCACTATTATTATGCTACTCCTTATTCATACAAACAATTCATTTCTCTGGTATTATTTTGTCCAGCTATCAACGATTATCGATTATTCATTGTATTTCTGTACAACTGCGGCTATAAACCAGTGGTGAGTTTTGTACAGTTGCTTAAAATTTTCTATGTTGTTTGCTTACTGGAAGAGTATAGTTTCATGACCATTTTAGGATCATGACACATTCTTCTTCTCAGTTCGCTCACAGTAATTTTTCCTTGTTAACGTCCACCCGAAGGGTTCCTAACAACTGTTTTTTTTACAACTTTGTTGCACAAAGGTGCTTTCTTGCTCTCCCTGATTCTTGTACTCGGTCCCTTACTCCATTAACAGCAGATTATCATTACTATATACTTTATTACTCCATCAACAGCACATTGTTCAAAAAATTTTATTACATTTGGCTTAAATAGTTTTTCCTGACACATATCTCGACATATATTTACAATAATCTTCCAGTTCGTTTCTCGTAACGCCTCGTCCTTGATAGATATCGCCAAACCTGAACAAATTTAGGATTATGAAGTTGAAGTGCTTCAGGGTACTCATATTATGAGTTCACCTTCTCATGCTGGCCTCGATGTTTTCTCTCCGTTCGCGGTCCCGCTTCCTCAGATGTTTTTCTCCATTGTGGTTCTGAATATAATGTCGTCAGAATAGTGGTTTGTGCGCTTTTACATGAAAGTTGTCTCTCGTAAGCAGCGCAGCGTGCGTTTTGCTTCGAAGTCAATGTACTTGAGCTTCTCTAGCAGCGTTCTCATGTCTGGGTGATCTCTTCCGAACGTGACGTTGAGCCGGCTGAAAAAGAAACAAAACTGCTTCCATTTACACAAGTTTTGCTTTGAATGCATCTCACTTGTGGTACGCTTCCGCAATGTTCGTGGTTCGAAGATCCACCTTCTCCCATTTATTCCACATTTCTTCAAACGGACCATCAAACCACGTCGCGTGCAAGTACTCAAGGAAGTCCTTGCACGCACCATACGCGACGTGGTCTTGGGGAACAGGTGGTGACCACAAGCCCGGACCTGAAGTAAAACACACTTTATTTGCCACATTATAGCACAATTTCGTTGTTATTCCTGGATATAGACGTCTAGGCAAGAAAATCACCCCTTTTATCGTGTCCCACCATTGGCTACGATGGGAACTCTGCTCCGGCCCTGTACGAACTTCTTGAGCATGCCATCTCACCGCCTGAATTAAAGAGAAATGAGATCCTCTTAGAATTAAATTCGAAGTGAAGTGGAGTCGTCACCTGTTCCAAGCTTGCGCTAAATGAAAAGCGCACCCTTCCACACTCAATTCTGGAAACAGGCGTCGAGCGGACGCCTTTTCGAAGTCCAGTATAATTCGCAGAGGCTGCATCGGCCTCGGGCGGAATTGCTCAAAAAGATTTTTTAGATGCCCGAAGATTCTCAGGTAGGTATCCTCCGTTCTCCTCGCGGTTACTAAGAAGAGAGCGGGACCTCCACTCCTCCATCACATACTCCGTGAACGCAGTGCAACTGCATGAGCTCCTTTGGTTGCTTCGAATGCACTCCATCAGCAACTACAGCGTATAGGCCACTTGCGGCAGGCCATCTGAAACGACACTCATTGCTTTATTTGGACAGAAATGTTTTTTATAATGCGAGGATTTTATTACCTACCTCTACAGTTTCCTCAGAGTAGTAGACGTGGAGGTCCGGCTCACGCTCGTGGACGAACATCCCGCCATCCCTCAGTTTGGCCAAGTCATCCAGAATGTTACTGAGGGTGACCTCCCTGTCTTTGAGCGACTGTTAGCCCTAAACAATCTTATATTTGTGAATGTGGGGTGACTTGCTGCTTCTTACCTCGATATTGCTTGCCGCTTCATCCCGAATCCCCATCCATACAGAGCACTGATGACGTCATCTGAACAATAAAGCATGACGTGCCTTACTTTGTATTATGGAAGTCATACCATCATACTCCTGGCTCGCTTTTGTGAGCATTTCTTCATATACCTGCCTCGGCACCCTTCCAGCGCACAGCGGATCGTCTTTCATGTCTCGAACTTTCTGAAAATGGTTAAAGATGCATAAAATATATTACCAAGCAACAATCGGTTATTGGAGAACCTCGTATCCTATCCGTTTTGCTTTGTCTTCTGCTGCTTCGTTTGGAGCGCAGACGTGGTCAATAGCACACGGATCACTCATGAACTCGTCTCCGGTGGCCTTAACAAACGCCATTTATCGCTAATAACGAAAACGGTATAATCTAGGTCCCACCCTTATCATTGTCCGAGCGTTCATTTTTTTACACGATACGCATTGATAGACCCAATTCTTTAGACGCTTCGGTCGAGTGCGAACGTATACGATAACAATGAACCTGGAATTCTGTACGTTAAAACTTCCCTCTTCTTCTGCTTACTTATCTCTCTTTGTCCCTTATAAGTGGAGGCCCCGCTGAGGAAGTCATGCGACCGAGAACAACGGTGTTATTGACATTGACAGCAATGTTAACTGGTGGCGATTCAACTCCCTGAAAAACAGTGTAAACGCCCCGATGAGGGCCGTTAATGTATAGCAGATAATTAGAAAACTGATGACAGCAAAACAAAATTCACTCGAGAAAACGAATGCAACTGCAAGTGACGAATAATCTGCGATTCATTTATAACAGCCACTAGCATGTCATGACCCATTTACGACCTCAACTTCTTTTTCGGGATGAGTTACGGGATATTCTGTGTCTCCTTTGGGCATATCAAAACGTCGCACGCTCCCCTATGGCAGTAATTAGTGAAAATGTTGGCTTCGTCAGCAGGTCTACAATGTCAGGTTTCCGAACTTTACAAGTGGAGTAGGGGCTGAGTACAAGAGAATTGCTATCAAGGGAGACAAGATATTGAAAAACATAATGCATCGTGAAGTTGTTCTGGTGACTTTGTTGTACAAAGGTGTAAAAAACAGTTTTTAGGAACCCTTCGTGTGGACGTTAACAAGGAAAATTACTATGAGCGAACTGAGAAGAAGAACGTGCCATGATCCTAAAATAGTCATACGAAACTATAACCTCGTCATCCGGCGAGTGTATAGGGCGGTCGGTTAAGCGGCCACGAGACGCGCGGCTGCAGCAGCGACCGCGTGCGTAGGAACTATTTGCTTTTTCCAGCCTAATTTAGTCATTTTTCCCTACTTTTCACTGCTTTTGGCTACGTTTTTCAAGGTTAGCAGTTTCTTGTCTTCACAAGGTAAATTATAACTGAAATCTTTATAACTTTTGCGAACAATTAAACGATTAAACAAACAATTAGACAAATGCCTAAAGAAAATCGCGAAAAACACATCATTACGAGAGAAAATGAAAAATCCGTGGGTTAATACACTTGCAAAATCAGGGTGGAACAGCTGGCAGGTGGAAACGTGTGAGGCGCTGCAGCCGCCATCACCTGAGGGCAGGCTAATCAACTGCACGGATGACGACAACGATACTTTTCCAGCAAGCAAACAGCATAGAAAATTTTAAGCAACTGTATAAAACTCACCACTGGTTTAGTAACGCCGCAGTTGTACAGTAGGAATAACCGATAATCGTTGATAGCTGGGCAAAATAATAGCAGAGAAATGAATTGTTTGTATGAATAAGGAAAAGCATAATAATAGTGGGGGGGGTTGCAATAGCTGGTAAGCGATAAGAAGTGATTACCAGCTCAAACGGAAGAGAATTTCTAAGTCTCAATCATCAGTAGCGGCAATTCGGCGTTTACGGAGGCGTGCTTACCAGTGCTTAGTGTCGATCAATGTAATGGCGAAAATCAGTGTGATACGGGAAGGTTTGTATGGACGGAGTTTGTCCGAACCGCTGAAGAAAAACGAGAACGGCTGCACAGACTCAGTGGAGGTGGCAATTGCGGCCAGCAGCGTCCCAGGACGATTTGACAGATGGCGGTCGCGCCATTCGACCGCCACCCGTCGCCGTCACGTATCTAATCCTTCTCGTCAGAGCAAACAATTAGTGCCGGAAAATGGGGGAGGGGTCGTACCAGGATTCTTTATCGGGGGGAGAGGGGTCGTAGTGACACCGCCATTTCACACATCACGATGCTGTGCCCTGTCTGTGAGTGATGAAGTACAGAACGGGATAACATTCCTCGAGACATCAAGCTCGTTAGGCAGCGCTCAGACTTTGCGACGGCAGCGCTTCAGTCGCGCGTTCGACGCGATCGATGCAGTTGAAAGCATGCTGCATCGATCGCGCCGAGCGGGTGACAGAAGCGTCGTGAAGTCTGTACGCTGCCTTAGCGCAAGCCATCGCTGACTGAATTCAAAGCGACTTCTCAAAGCACATATCGGCTTGATTGTAGACAACACCTCTTTATGGTGGGTCGGCATGGTTTAAAAACGACTGATCATATAGAGAGACTAAAAAAAGGCTTTTTCACTAAGGTACACACCATCAATGCTCACGTTGTGTAGGGTGACAAAGTAAATGGAAAAACCGAGGAAGCGTAGGGTCCAGCTTTTCCCAAAACCTTGGCATTATTGTCATTACGTTCTGATTTCCGCGTGCGACGTTGCGCCAGCAATAGCAATGGTCCCAGGTAGTAGACGGCGACAACAGGCAATTCAGAACCGAAAATTCTACGATGACGGGTCTACATGAAGTCCGGTGCTCCAATCGACAGTTAAAACGAGTTAAGAAAACGCCGCGCCCATCGCCGCGCACGGCGAAGCGGCAAATTACGATTCTCTTGCTCGTCTCCCGTCCAGACCAATGTCCAATGTCAGTGTCTCGCTCGCTGGGAGAGACAGAGTGCCCTCCCTCTGTCTCTCCCAGCGAGTTTGCGGTACACTCACTGACTTCGTTGCTGCAGCGCCAGCGTTGGCCAAGCAGTGAAATATTTCGTGGCAAGGTGTTTTGAGAAGTCATCTTTGAAAGAAGTTCTCATAATATCTCTCAAGAAATTGCTCGCGGTCTCATACTTTAGAGATTTGATGGCCCGCCTTACAAGTTTTGCGTGCTGGGGCGTGTCGGGAGGGAGGAAACGCAGGAACTGGCTTGCCGCGAGCCCGTCTTGTCGCTTGCCCGCTTCAACAAGTGGTGGAGATCGTGCTGGCGTCGGGCCCAACCCCGTCGCCTGGCACGTCCATATGCAACGAACAATACTATACATCGCATGGCCTGCATTGTCAAATATAGGCATGGCGTTGCACCATTCCATTTCCTATACCTTCTTTTTTTCAAATGACTAGGAGACTGTTATTCGTTCTCTCCAACACGTGAAAGGAGGATAATGTAGAGATCCTTCCACCAAGATGCCTTCTTCCACAGTGGCGCTGCTCACGAGCCACACCGTCTGCCATTCGATTACATAACAACAGAATAGGTAACATTTAGAACATTAAATTTTGCCAAAAAAAACAATAAATATACAACTGTGCAACATTCTTTATTTAGTTTACCAAAAACTGTTGAGCCTTGCTCTCGGAAGTAGGCGCAGAATAAAAATTTACAATATTCATACGAGGGTAAAGTCGTTTCCCGAAGTAGGCTTTCCTACGAAAACTGCCTATGGGAAAACCGATTCGACGCAGCTAAACGAAACTTTGCAAAAAAGAAAAGCATCACAATAGAAAAATCGTTCGCATATCTAAGACATTACCCTCAACTTCAGCAATCACTACGTGACAGGGCTAACAGTGCTCAATGTCGAGGCTCAGAAGTACTAATTTTCAACGACAAACATTTAATGCATAGACATATAGGAGTGTGAAGTAGAGATCAGAAGAGGCCGTGCCAACGAATCTGTACAATGGAGGCTTTCGCGAGGATTCTAGATTTCTCCACGCCGCCGTTGATTCATCTTGTTCCGCGGATCATGGATGTCATACCAATCCTCACTTTCCTCACGCAAGTTAGCGTCTTTTGCTTTCGACACATTCGGATCTTCATCTTCTGCTTCGAATTTGTGGACCATCCTGAAACCAAACAGTAAAAGTCACCTGGTTATAAAGCCATTGCAGGCAGCCACACTGCGGGTATTCCTGAAATTTTTTTGACTTATTTTACCTTTTGAAGCAAAAAACAGAACGAGGTATTCGGGCATCGGTGAACTACATAACAAGATTTTATGTAGTATTTTGATTGCTACAATCTTAATACACTTTTCTTTATGCGCAAGTTTTCAGAGGGGGTGGGGAGAGACATCAAAAACGTAGGCTTAGTTTGCGTTTCGCACTAAATCAAGAGCGTCGACCACTGATCCTCCGCTTTTTTCACGACTGTCCCCTACCCCTCCCTCCCATCAGCTAGCTGTAGTGTTCAGCTATTGTTCAAGTAGATATCGGTGTGCGTGAATCGTCAATGTTCAATGAAAACCTCACACGCCTCTGGAAAAAGTCAAGGAAACATACGAAGAGTCTCAAGTTGTTACAGAATGACCTGAATGCAAAACAGTCACCTACCAGTCATCGCCAACGACATCCTCTGCGTCCAGGTCGATTCCAAACTTCTTTTCCTCAGGCTTCTCCTCCTCCTCCTCTTTAAGCTCGATCTTCTTATCATGGAGAATCGCCGACTGATTCGATGCTGCCAGACGTTTTTGGAATCGTTCCAGCATACTCATAGTCTGTTTGAAATCATTTTTAAAAAGTGAAAATAGAAAACCAAATCTTTGAAATAAATTCCAGCATATCGGCATACTAGAGAGGGAGATTGATAATTTCTGATATTCCCTTAGCTCATTCTATAGGACGTGAAGAAGTCTCATATCGAACACACATTTGGCGAGAGGCAAGTTTTCAGTAGCACAGTTTTCATAAAGTTGTCCCATAACCCTTCTCCAGTTTCTGTTCAAATCAATTTTTTTCTGCTTTACGTAATCGTTATGCTACCGAATGGCGGTGTCGTTATCACCGATGCGGCGTGTACGCTCTGGAAGACGCGGTGAAGTGGCCTAAGCCGGGAGTCTGAAAAGTAGGGCATAGTGTTGCAGAACCACGCAGCCTGAGTGTCCGAACTTAATACACATGCACGGCCCTAGATTATGTATTACAAATATTGTATGCAGTACTATTCGAGAGAGATTGGCAAAAAGGTTAGCGCTGTGTTGAGGGCAGGCACCGCTATTGAACGGACCGCAAACCAATGGTTCAACAGTTGGCAAAGGCAGTAGGAGCTGAGGAAGTCGATCTCACAGTGGATGTCCAGTCATCATGGGTTAAGGTTTGCTGCTCCACAAGTTGCACTTGCATGTGGACGCTATTAAGGGGGTAGGAGAGGACACATAGACATGAATGTAGTAAAAATCGCTTTTCGATATGAATGGACTCGGATACGCGCATTAAGTGAGCAACTGCCGAAAAACTTTTGTCTTTGTGTGACTTGCCTGCAGACCTTCTAAAACGCGGCCCGTCATTGGAAGATGACGATGGGCCCATTTATGAGAAGCAAACGCCACACGCCCTAGTAGCTGCCCCGTGGCCTAGGGCTCAACACAGCCCAACCAAAGCCCGAAGTGCTCTACTCCAAAGATTAGCCTCTAATTGGTGAGCTGACGAGAACGTTTGTTTCTGGAAGACCTCACAGGCACACGAACAGTTTCGACACGATGGGATACCTCTGCAAATTGGCCGCGGTAGCGCCAAACAAGCATCCCAAACGACCCAGTATCCCCTTTCCAGGATGACGCTCACACTGCAAAAACGACTCGCCACATTCTGGGAGAACCGGACTGGAGAAAAGCTACATGTCCATCGAGTAGCACAGGTATTTCTCCATAGTGCCACCATGTGTTCCCCATCCTGTAGCCTCTAAAGGAAGCAAAAATTAAATAACTACTCGAAAACGACCACGAAATGAACCGCGTCCATACTTGTTGATAGCCAGCCTCACTCATACTCATATTACTCATCCATGGTCATTGTCAACTAGACAGACACATCCGTGATCCTTGCGCTGATTTTGCTGTTGAGTGCATGTTTAACGGAAAGGAGGAAAATTGGAAATACAAAAATGCTGACAATTAGGAGTTAAGAGACAACCTGAACTTTAAGAATTCTGAAAAAGGTTAGTTTAAACCTGTTTCTCGGTGGATCCTTGTGTCCTAGACTGATATCTTTCGCTTTTGATTTGAACTCAACTCAGTTTCATAGCATCTGATTGCTCCTCTTCTGAAAAGAACTGCCTCACAACACCAGGTGTACCGACCTACTTTACGTTGTTACAAATTGGCTCTGCAAGTAATTCTACAAAGCATAAATGACGGCAGATTTGCAGCCTACTGTCGAGCAGAAATGTGCGAAGGGCGACAGATTGCACTTTTTCCAACGAATCACAAATTTTTTCCCAAAAAGGAGGGAATTGGTTATGAAATGAAGCCGCAGGACTGGTGGTAATCTATTTCCATACCTTCCTCCTTTGTCTTCTGTTTCGGTCCACGAAGCGCTTTGATGTGCTCCTTTTGCATGGCTTTCAGTTCAGCTTGCATAGCTTCCCTACAACAAGTTTTCTTTCCAAATTCCATCAGGAAGGCAAACATAATCAGAACGAAAGACTATATTCACATTCTTTCGCGTTCTTGTTTCCTTCGTTCATCGTCAATCATTTTCTCGAAGTCTTCATCCTTCCCATCATCATCCACTTCTTCAATCTAAAAGTGATGTCGCTAAAGCAGCAGATGTAAACATACAATATCGAAGCACTACTTGCACAGCTAACCTTCCTTTTTGCTGCGAACTTCGCTCGTATACTCGACACCGTGGATGCATCGCGCTCGGCATCTTCTTCCTTAACGACATGATTATGGGTTAGAGTCTCTCATCGATTCGTCGGTTTAAGAAAGGGAACTGAATCGAAGCTCCAAATTGAAAAGAACATTCGAACTTGAACAGGAATGCTGGAACCAGAGGGCTTTGTCCAAAATAGGTCAGTAAGATAGGAAAATATCAACCGATTAAAAATAGAATAAATGTCATTTAACTTCATAAGCAAATGACATTCGCCTCGCGAAAAAGGTGACTTGCGCGGCTCAGAGAGTAATGGTAAGATAATGAGAAACACAGAAGCGAGGAGAAAAAAGGAGAGAAAACGGGCCGAAATGCGCTACATGGAACCTACATGCCGAGCCGATGCCGAACCCACAGCTGCCCGAAATGGATAGCGCTAGTAGAGGAACAAGTATACAACTAGGAAGCCTTCAGAAATGGAGGAAGTTGGGCGTTCCGTTGGCCAGTGGGTGGGGCGGCGGTTTCGCGGTGAGCGAGCTGCGCCTTCCCCACGTAATTTGAGCTAGGAAAGTGGTACGCTATTCTTGGGGACAGGACCACCATGCCCAGAAAAGTGTCTTTGAGGAAACTTTCACTGATATAGTGATAATGGTAATTTCAAAAACTGCACTACAGTTCATAGTTATCGATCAACACGATGCTGCACGGTCACACCACTCACATTCAGGAGGTCGCAGGTCGTTGCAAGACGCTGGAAATACGGAAGACGCAGAATGAAGGAATCCGAGGAAAAGAAAAGTCAAATCAGCGTTGATAATCAATCACCTATTGACATGACAAAGAACCAGCCTCTACTGAAGGAATAGCAGAGAAAAAAGTGTAATCAAGTACCTTTTAAGAATAGTAACTCAATTCTGAGAGGATTTGAGAGAGTTCACTTATCATAAACTATAGTTTTGAGTCCTAACACAACATTCCTCGATTTTAGAGCAGTTTCAAAACGGCAAAAGAGAGATTGTAAGAGAAATTCAGGCAAGCTCTGAACAGCTCTATAGCAAGAAAATACCAAGAAGATACACAGCATACCGGTTCATAATCCGCCATCTCATCAGCGGTAACAGCTACTTGCTTGCTAAGTTTCGCATCGTCAGATAGCACGTCATGAGCCGATTTCCCTTTCTTATTCAACACCTGTGATCAATTCATGTGAAACCTACACCGTCTACATCTCTCAGAAAGGAAATTTCTCATAAGATGTCCAATGTATCACTATCACCAACCTTATTCACTTGATCCAGTTCCATTTCGTCTTCTTCAGCCTCGTCTCCAAAAGAGAGCAAGTTGAGCTTCTTCGTCTCCACTGGCTTTTTCTCGCGTTTCTTTTCCTTTTTCTCTTTCACACGTTCTCTACAACTGGATTATTCAGTGACAATAATCACCTTCTGACAGCCTGCGGAAATGGTCTCTGGCCACGATAACAACAACAGTAAAACTTATGAATTATGAGAAACATGCCTTGGTTTCATGTCCGTGAAAGGATTTGTGAGAATGGTGACGTTTCTGATCTTGTGTATAGTTCTCGGTCTTTCATTCTCATCGACGTCGCATTCAGTCATCTTCAGCATGTTGAATACGGTATTTCCAACAATCTGAATAGTCCTTCCTCAATAGCTCGTTTTAAGAAAAGAACAGCTAGCAGTAAGACAACAAGTTTTGACAAGGAGTGAGTGCTCCCTAGCAAAGCTACCCTGCACAATTGTGAATTTGAGTAAGATTACGTTTAACAAACCTTTCCAAACAATGTGTGCTTTTTGTCAAGCTCACGAACATCGTTGCCAACAGTGAAGAAGAACTGACTACCATTATCATCTTTTCCGGCATTTGCCATCCCAACAAGTCCACGACGATTAAATCGGAGACGCTGGTGGAATTCATCCTGAATCTCTACCTTCTGCTAACTACCGAGAGCACTCAGTTAGAAGTATAGAGGAAGCACACAAACCTTGAACGGCTTTCCATATATACTTTCGCCACCTTGACCAGTACCAGTGGGATCACCTCCTTGTATTATATAATCTGAAAGAGGAAAACTAAGTGCCCAAAAACCTAAGAATATCTCTTGCGAGAAAAAAACAGAGCCTGCACAGAATCAGGACTACTTCCGACCCTGACTGTTGTAATCCCGGAACCCAAAAATATTGCGAGTTTTAAAGTTGTTTCAGTTGATAACTGCCTGTTTAACGGCTCCAAAAGTCAACACAAGTATGCTGAGAGATTGGCAGAAGTGGGACTCGAGACGGTATTGCAACCCGTTTTTCCCGCTAACCGGGCGATTCCGTTGTCCATTACGTTACTGGCGCCACTACTGCCCTCTCAGCTCAATGTCTTTTTGCATATCACACTCCTAACGTGGTGGCTGGTTGAACCGATATCGGCAGTGAAGCGCAAGGCTGAAGGCTTTTTAGATGTTTTAAAGTTTTCGAACACTACAAATTACGATTCAAAAATGAATGAAATAAATATGATTCAAAATACCGTTCACACTATCTAAAATTGAAAACTGAATCACGATACCTACCTTTTACCAGCCTATGAAATATAGTACCATCGTAGTATTTTTCCATACAAAGTTGAATAAAATTTCGACATGCAAGAGGACATTCTTTAGTCCATAGCTCGATCTCGATATCACCAGCTGATGTGTGAAGAATAACCTTGAAAGAGTTTCCGTATTCGAGTGAAGAGTTGTGACACAAGGTATCAGAGTTAATGAGGCAATTGTGGGTCCACAGCTCCTACTGGAATCCAGCCGTTTTCTACCAAGACTAAGGGCAAGTGATTCAAACATTGCAAAGCTGTAGAATCGCAATCGCGCGATAGGAAGAACTGCAGCCTATGAGATGAGTATACTCATCGATCCCTTCCTCCCTCTCCCCTCTCGAGGAAAAAAAATACTGGAGTATCATAGATCGGTCGATAGGTGCCCAATTCTTGTCGCGCAACTCTGACCCTGATAAATTTATCTCCGATATCTCAATAAGAATGATATTTTTTCGCGGATTATCACAGTTCAGCAACCCTTCGACTCTCCAGGGTCACAAAGGATGAACGTGGTCCAGTCAAAGGACCACAGACTGCCACATTTTTCTTACGCCTGGCAAGGCTTAATGCCACTACCTATGAAAGCTGCGCTCATACCTTGGGACGGAAGCATAGGAGAATGGTAGAATCAAAGAAACGGGTTTTGGTTAATGCGCGTCAAAGGAAAGTGAAGGTGTGACGATTTTGGAGGATAAGAAAGTAGGAGAATTGGGAGAACCGACGCTTTGAGAGTATGTACGCCAAAGGCTCCTCGAACATCGATAGTCGCTGCCAGATAGCGAACTGGAAGAAAAAGAGAATAGGAGAACCGATAAATGGAGGTTTTGGTAGTAGGGGTACGCTCAGTCATACTTTTGCACGCAGTCTCAAAAAAGTAGACTCGCTGATTCTCCTACTGTCCCATCGCAAAGTATACTCCTTATCCCTGAGACGGGGTAGGCGTGGCATTCGAACAGAACTGGTTACTCGTGGGATATTTACAACCGCCATCTTGTTCTTTGTTGGACAGAGACGTGACCACATTTGGGTCAAAATGAAAATATCTCTCCAAAAGCATAGCCACCACGACGTTTGGTTGAAGTACGCAGCCACGCCTACCTCATCTCAGGGATTTCGAGTGTATAAACATGCCCTAATGTTAACGTTAAGTTACTAATTGCATAGTGTTGTCCGCTGCGGATGGAAGAGCGTTTCATGCGGGATGGGTAGCGCGGTGTACCTTTTCTCCACCAGTTAATGAAGCGAGTGAGCGATAACTAGTGGAAAACGACTGATACAGCTTTGTGACTTGCTCGCTTCAGCAACTGGTGGAAAACTGGTCTACCGCCGCGCCGAACCGTCCCGCTTGACACGCCCATCCGCAACGAACATAACTGCGACTTTTTATATCAGCAATATCGCCGTAAAAGTTCGTATTAACACATTGGCGACAAGGCGCCTTTTCGCGTGTCTGCCGCGTGGGACAAAGCAGTTTTTCCCTATTTTCGAAGAATGCGCATAAATGCTAGGGCGTTTATACGCCAAAAAAATTGAAGAATGGTCAGAATTCATTGCAGAAGCTAGTAAGGCTTCGCTATTCTTGTTTACTTTCAAGATAAACCCTGAAATTTCATGGAATACTCCCGCCTCATTCACGTGGAGCGTGGGAACAAGGTCGCAAAAAAGGAATATTTTCGCGCCAGAGGTGGTAAATTGGATTCGATTCAGATCTGCTATTGTTGAAAGTTACCTTATCACGTTAGCTATCTACATGTGGAGCTTCAGTTCTATTCATCCAAAACTTACCTTTTTTCCAGGAAATTATTTTTGTTTGTCTCCTCGGTAAAATACTCTCAATGACACAACTGCTTGTTTACAACTACTGTATATTCCACAATGCCTTCCCGGACAATATGTACATGGTGAAAATTTGAAATGTTTTCAAATGGGTTTCTTCCAGGATTTTGTTCGAAGTGCTTCTGAAAATCT